GCAGTGGTTTCCTAGAGAAGGCCACAGAGATGTTAAAGCTGGGTTTTAAAGGATAAGTAGGATTTAAATAAATAGACATAGAGAGAGGTGAGAGATGTAAAGAAGTAAGACAGGCCCATGAGCAAAGGATGTGGGATCAATTCAGGAAACAGTAAGGAACTGAAAAAAAAAAAAAAAAACAGCTTTCCTGGGTATTTACTGTGGGCAGGCCCTGTATTCAGCATGACAGATGCAGATAAAGTGTTTGATGAGACAAGATTCCTGCTCTCAACAAGCCCCCCAATCCAGAGGGGTAAGAAATGGGCCATAAGCTCTCTGATGGCAAAGATCTGGTCTAGCACCATCCCTGCACTGTTTGACTAACAAAGGAATGGATGTGCTAGACACCCATAGGACACACTACGATAAAGGATATCTGCCTGGTACCCACTCGACTCCTATCAGGGATGGGGGAGCAGCACGAGCTTCCTGGGCTGAGGTTAGTGGCATGAGCTAAACATGGAAGCCAAGACGGTGGGTAAGGAGAGGGTGTTCAGGTAGCAAAACTGATACAGAAATACTGTGAAAAGGGAACGCTTGACACATTATGAGAGTGAAGAATCCCACAAACACAGCAGTTGCCTGCTCTAAAGCTGTAAGTGAGTCACAGTATGGAAGAGTGGGCAGGGCCCTGGCCTGGAGTCATGAGAGCCAGAATCCAACCAAGGCTCAGGCAACACTCCCATAGGATGCTAAAGAAAGCAAGGGGCCTGCTCCTGTACCAAGCCTCTGCTCTGCACCAGCTCTTGGCATCCTTGGCCTCCCTAATCAGTACGACGACTCTGAGTGGCAGGTATTATTGTTTTTAATTAGACATGGAGAGAGTATAGTTAAGAAATTTGCCTCACACAAATTACAGATTATACAGCAAAGAGGGGGTATGGTTGGAATTCCAACTCAGATCTCTCCCCAAAGCCCCCATTCTTCACACACCTGCTCCTCCTGTGATAAGGAGTAATAAGATTAGCCATGGACCCACCAGCCTGGGGCAAGAATTCCAAATATATGAGCTTGCCAAACCCTCCCCAATCCATCTCTCTAAGGCCATGTGATGTGGATGAATAAGAGTCATAGAATTGCCTCTATCAAGATCCCATTGTGGAGGGACCTTTCTTTTAGTACAAAAAGAAAGAAATGCCTTTCCTAAGAAATGTCAGGTTTAAAGTACATGCGCACGCACACACACACACACACACACACACACACACACACACAATGGGAATCAGGTTAAAAATGCAAACTGGGGGGTCGATTACATTCCTGAACTTGGAGGCAGATGAACCCCAATGTGATAAGCAGAGAATCGACATGAAACCATCACGTGCTAGTCACAAGCAGTGGGATTGCCACCTGTCCGCAACAGTTAGCGATTGAATCCAGCTGTGACCTCCACTCTAAGAAACCCCATCCCTGCGATGTTAGGCTTTCACCCAGGGCTCCATACAGAGAAAGTAGCAACCTCCTCGCTACCGTGACAGCATTACTCATCAACTGACTCTTCTGGTGGGCTGCAAACAGGGCAAGTAGCCTGGACAATAAAAACCTTCCTACCTGTCTTGATAATAACACTGCCTTACATCTGCATCGTTGTCATAACACACAAAAGGACTTTCGTATATACCGTCTCACGTGATTCATTCTCCCCGGTGAGTTACAAAGTCAAGGGTTATAATCAGATGTTCCAGGAGCAAGTCAGTGCCAAGAAGGGTACAAAACACAACCTGGCGAATAAGCTTAAGAAATGATGGAGCTGGGATTCAAGCTTAAGTCTTCCTACTTCTAATCTTAACTTCAACTCATCCAGTCATGACCAAACACCCTCATGGTGAGCCCTCTCGCCCTTTCCTTCCACACTAGGCCAGCTGGGCAGGCTCTGCCAAGTAGATACTATTCTATCAAAACCCTCCTCTTCTTTCCCAGGAAGGAAAAGTATGTACCCATCTGAAGTCAGATGGTCCTAGGTGAGGGCTAAGCGTGTACCTGCCCGAGCATGGAGCACACCTGTTTACATGGCAATCAGAGTCTCACACACGGCTTCTGGGACTTTTAACCTCCGCTGACAGTCTTTCGCTCTGCTAGAATCAAGGCTCATTTGCTAATTAAAGGGTATTATGCACTTCATTGCTCAACAGCTAAGAACTTGGAATAAGGAAGAGTCTGCAAAAGCATTAGCCCTGGAGATAGCACCAGATCCGCTTTACAGAAAAAGAAAACTGGGAAAACAATCCATCTGGGACACTCCCTCCCCCATACTTTACTGGTCTACTAAGCCAGCCACAGATCACAGAGGAAGCCACCCAGCATAGCACAAACCCAGGGAGAGTCCAGCAAATGAACCAAAAGCAGAGCGGTGCGGGGCACAGAGAATGAATGAGAGAGAAAGATGGTGAGCTGTCTTCTCCCGTAGCCACCTGTGAGGTCTCAGATGTGCCCCAGGCCAAGGACAAGTACACCTGGATCCCAGGCCAAGAGGCCAGGGAGACCAGGGTGAGTGGGAAGGATTAGCCTTCACTGCAAGGTCCTGGAACAAACTTGACATCACGGTCCACCCTTGGAGCCTGGCTGCTCATTGCAATCAATGGGCGAAACAGATCAGCATCCCGCCTGGAGCCTGTTCCAGGATTCCTGGAGTGGGAGCCCTCTCGGACACTCTCCGGCCCTTTTGGACACAAGCCAGCCCTGAGACCCATCCCCTCTTCAATGCTGGGGGAAGACTGAGGGTCAGTCCAAGGAAGGACACTCAACCTAGATCAGTCTTGAATCTGGTGAGGATGACAGGTAATGACATGACACTTACTAAGTAATCATTTGTATCCACAGGCAGCTTCCCAATTGAAGTGATAACCTGCCAACGTCAAAGGCTCAGGTCAGGATCTAAAGCCTGATCTTTGGCCTCTCGGGACCCCAGGGACCCGAACAACAGGCTGAGTACGAAACAGCAGCCGGGGATCAGAGAACCTTGAATTCTAAATGGAACTCGGTCATGAGTTGAGAGGAAGTCGCTAGGTGGACAAGTGGTTATGCGGATGCTTGAGAGAACTTGGTCCAGAGGCTACTATCCACCATGGTGGCTCTGGGGCCACCCTCTCTCTCTCTCTCTGCTCTCTGCATGTTCCGTGTGTGTTCAGGCAGACAGAGGAACAGCTGAGTGTGTTTCTGAGCTGCGTGGTGCAGTGGAGAAGCTAAGCATTGCCACAGCACTAGAAAAGCACGGGGTGGATACAATGATGGTTTCAGCCTCGAAGAATGAGGTTCTCCCCCCTCCATCTCTCCCCAAGCCACCTAAGACATCATTTGTGCGTGACATGTTTTCAGATCCTGTTTGCTCCAATTTAGAAAGGCTTCCAGGACAGCTAGTCCCTTCCCCCAGCTCAGACCCGCTTCCTCTTCAGCCTCCATATACCACAGCCTGATTCTGCTGGGCTCTTTTGCTCAGTGCTTCAAACAAATCACACAGAACAACTCCCCAAAGAAAGAGAGCTCTACAGTCCGTGAGAAGCAGTACCCTCTCCTTCCCCGCCCCCCGCAACACTCAGGCACTCTTGGCTTTTCTAGAGAAGACCAGAGACAGCCCACAGCAAGCACAGAGGCTGTGGGCAGAGATTGGCTGTAGCATTAAAAGAAACTCAGAGCAAGAGGCTGGTAAGGCAGTGGATCTGAGAGCAGGAGGGGAATGGATGTATCACAGAGCAAGGTAGGGCATGTCTTAATTAAGCAGAGGACCTCAGACGAGAGCTGACGACAGAGTCGGGTCTCTCTGCCATTTGCCACGCCGAACTTACGACTGCAATTTGGCTCAAGGTTCTGAGACTCAAAAGCTCTAAGGCAGCTTTGGGAGAAGCAGCCACACTGGGCTTCCGGAGGGTCCCAAGGCCCCTGATGTCCCAGGCCCTCCTGGGAGACAGAAGCTGTCGGCAGCAGCAATAAGACCTGTGATGCCAAGTTCTGCCTAGCAGCCCACTAATTAGGCAGACACAGCTCTCCTCCCATCCTTTCTCTGCCCCTCCAGGAAGCCCCTGCCTGAAAGGGAGCCACCTCCCCCTCCGTGTTTGCTCTTTACTCAGTTCCACACTCCTCCTCCAGGCTTTCGAATCTCGCAGCTGCTCGCCCCCTCCCCACACCACTCCTCTCGTAGCCACGTTGTTAAGCGATCATCATCATCGTACAGCTAGCAAACTGAGCCTCTGAGTTTCCAGCTGAAACTCCCAGACCAGCCAGCCTGTAAATGCTGTGCCCTCGCAGGCATCTCACGGACCCTCCTGCCTCCATCTAAACCCTCCTCTCTGGGCCAAGCACCCTGGACATCTCTTTGCTTTTGACCTGCCAGCAGACCAGACAGAGACCCCGGGGTCCCCGGCCTCTCCTCTCCTGACACGGGGCTCAGAATCCACACAGGAAAAGGCAGCAAAGAGACTTCCACACCTTTGCAGCATCACCTGCTCCAGCAAGCTCCCAAAGCCACTGGAACCAGCCAGGCTGCCTGGGGCCCCACACCCCCTTCTCTGGCAGCTTTAAGCTCCAGCCCAGCCCACAGGATGCAGGGCCTGATGCTACTTCCGAGCAGAGAGAGAGAGGGGAAAAAAAAAAAATGCCACCTCGTCAATGACAAGCTGTTCCAATCACACAGCTCAGACACCAAGTGCCCTGGACCACGGACAGCTCGGGCCTCCTCCCTCCGGGCGGGTGGAAGGCAACTCGGCACATCTGGGGGAGCCATCGCCCAAGGCCAGGCCCCCCGCTCGCTCTGCACATCCGGCCAGACAACAGTGCCCCATCCCAGCGGGCAGACGCCTCCTGCCAGTTCCAACAACTCTGGCCAACTCCCCTCTTGGCCTTCAACCTGAGGCACGGCTCTCCCTCCTGCTCCAAAGCACAGAGACCTCAAACCGAGCCAGAGGCCACCAGCGTGGCACTTCTCCAAAGGACCAAGCACAGAAAAGAACTGGATGCCAAGTACTCACGGTGGTGAAGTCCTGGTGGCCACACTCCTGCCCCTTGAACTTGCAGTAAAGCATCATATCCTTCAGGTCGTGGCCCACGCGGTGCAGGAACTCCAGCATGCTGAAATGCTTGGGTTTGTAGTGCTTGAAGTTGGCCTTCTGCTGCAGGGCCTCCAGCACCGTGGGGTCGGCCAGGTGCGGGTCGGGGATCTGCAGGTTGACGTCCAGCAACGCCAGCAGCTCCCCGGCGTGGTACAGGTCATTGGTGGTGAGCCTGGAGAAGCGGAAGCCGTTGAGGTTGCAGAGGGTCACGGCCGGGAAGACCAGGCTTTGGGCCACCACCTCGTCCACCTTGGTGACGTGCTGGTAAGAGAAGTAGTAGGACACTCTCTCCGAGCTCTCCACCAGCAGCAGGCCCAGGGAGCCCACGAAGGCCACGGCCCAGAGCACACGCCGGACGGTCAGCGGCCCGTAGACGAAGATGTGGCGGATGCCGTGGAGGGTGGAGGTGTTGGCGAAGATCTGGATGCTAGAGGGCTGCAAGCTCCCCTCGCTGGGGCTCTCCTTGAGGTCCATGGGGACCCTGTGCAGTTCCGCAACTGGCTTCAGGTTGATCAGATTTCAGGGAAAGAGTTCCCAGTCCTCCCGGCTCTGCTTAAAGCTTGACGTTCAAGGGAGGGAAGGAAAAGCCAGCATCAGACAGGGCAGCACCACCGGAGTTTATCCTGAGAGCCCAGCCGCACGCTGCCAGGGGTGAGTGTTTATATTAAAAAAAAAAACCCATTCAAACTCTAGCTTCTGATTTTTTCCAGGCGATAAGGAGGGCTGGTTTTATTTAGGGAGACACCAAGGTGATGTGGAAGAGATGTGGGTGGGAAGGGAGAGCTTAGCCAATGGAAATAAAGTCCTCCCCCCTACACACGCCACTAGAGACAAGATTAAAAGCGAGAGCGAGGGAGAAAATGCTTAAAACAAGTCGCTCAGCAGCTCGGAGCCTGTTAACCAGTGCATAATGCCCCGTGTTCAGCATCCTGGGTATGTCAGGGCAGCCACGCTGATGCACTGCGGGCGGGCGCAGCGGCCGAGCTTCAGGGGCCCCCGCCGCCGCTGCCGCCGCCGCCGCCGCCGCGGCCGCCCGGGTCCTCTCCTCTCCCGGTGCTGTTTTGGACTCCGGATCGCGTTTCTCGCCGCCGGCCTCCGTCCCTCCTCTCCACTCGTCCTCCGGGCCCCCTTTTATTGGGCAGAATTCCAAATGCCGGGCGGTCCGTGGCTCGCGCCTCCTCAGAGAGTAGGCAGCGCGCGCGGCCGCGGAGAGGCGAGGACCAGGAGGCTGGGAAGGAGGCTGGGGGCTCCGGAAGGAGACTCGTCTGTCTCCCACCCCCGCCCCGCCACCCCCATCCCACCCCACCCCCCAGGAAAAGCGAGGACCCAGAGGGCGCCGAGAGAGCCGGCCTCCCTCACCCCCTCCACCAGCAGGATGTTGGGATGGGGAGAGGGCCGGTGGGGGTGGGGGAGTGGGTTGCTGGGGGCCCGGGGAACCCGGGGAAACTTTCTTTTTGGTCTGTTTTGGAGGGAGCTAGTGGGGGCCTCTCCCCTCATGGGGAGAACCAGCCCCCCTCCCCGGGAGGGAGGACGTGACAGCCGCCCCCTATAGGTGGCTGGAAGGTACCTTGATCAACTCCCAGGAGCCCAGTATGGGGGTGGAGGCAGCAAGCCTTTGCACCAAGATCTGTTCCCAGGTCAGCCCCAGCCTTGGGTCTCCAGACACAGAGATGCTGGAAGCTGGGAAAGGAAGGGAGCCCTGGAAAACCCCTGATGCCTGCGGGAGGGGGACATTCGAGGGTACCAGGTGCCCCAGGCGCCCCTGGGAGACCACAGGCAGAGCAACAAGTAGCCTCCACCTCCGCAGAGATGTCAAGAGATTTTTGCATCTGAAAGAGAAAGACAGCTGGGGTTCCAGGTAGGACTGGCTGCCTTCCCTTGGGCTGTGTGTATGTGTGTGTGTGTGAGTTCTACCCCAGGATTTGCCAGATGGAAACACAGCTGGAGCTATAGATGGGAGAGAAAGACTGGGCTTCCAGCCACCTACCTCCTTTTTTCCTGAAAATCCACTGGAAGTCAGCCCCTGCTAGCAGGTGGGTGTGGCTTGCCCAGTGCCAGGGATCAAAGGGCTGGAACCTATACAATCAGTGAGGCTAAATCCCCTTCAGGAGGAAAGGAACAGAAAGTTCCAGTGGCCAACCCAATGCACACTGCCAAGCTGGGGCAGAGCCACATGGAGATGCTGTGTGGAGCCAACCTGATGTCCCCAGGGCATGCCCAGCTTCAATAACACTCCTTGAGAAGAAAGCAGTTTAGGGAACGTTGCTCTTGGTTTATATCTACTTTGAAATATTTCTCTATCCTATCTGCCCTCTCGCTTAACCAGATCCAAACTGGGAACAAAGTCTGGATGTGCACTGAGGCAACCCATGGCATTAAATTGATGGTTTATCGATCCTGGGAGCTTAAAGAACAAAAGCATCCCAAATAAGGACAAATGACTGAGGCCAGTTAACTTCATGCATGTGTCAGCCCAGAGGTTCCCAACCCCTGCCTCAAGCCTCTGAGATGGGGGCAGGGCTTCAAAACAGGGGGTGCCAAGACTAACTAAGAATCTATCATAGGCTTTCCTGGTGGTCCAGTAGTTAAGAATCCGCCTATCAACGCAGGGGACATGGGTTCGATCCCTGATCCAGGAAGACCCCACATCCCGCGTGGCAACTAAACCCATGCGCCACAACTACTGAATCCACGTGACCTAGAGCCTGTGTTCTGCAAAAAATAGTCGTCACTGCAGTGAGAAGCCTGTGTACCAAAACTAGAGAGTATCCCTGACATGCCACAACTAGAGAAAGCCTTCACACAGCAAAGAAGACCCAGCACAGCTGAAAATTACTGAATTTTTTTTTTTTTAAAGAATCTGTTGTGTGTCAGGACTGGGCAAGGATGTCGTATCATTTCACTTAATGCTTTCAACCACCTTGACAGGTATGTGTTATTACCCCATATATACACACAAATAAACAGAGGCTCACGAGGGTAAAGTCACACAGCTCCTGAGTGCCCAAGCAGGATTTGAACTCAGGCCTTTGCCTCCAAAACATGGGCTTAAAGGCATAGTCAAAACATGCCTTCCCAAATTTAGGAAGAAAACAAGCATTTCTGCTCTACTTTGGTAGCTCAGCTGGTAAAGAATCCACCTGCAATGCAGGAGACCCTGGATCGATTCCTGGGTTGGGAAGATCCCCTGGAGAAGGGATAGGCTACCCACTCCCATATTCTTGGGCTTCCCTGGTAGCTCAGCTGGTAAAGAATCTGCCTGCAATGCAGGAGACCTGGGTTTGATCCCTGAGTTGGGAAGATCCCCTGGAGAAAGGAAAGGCTTCCCACGTCAGTATTCAGGCTTCCCACTCCAGTATTCTGGCCTGGAGAATTCCATGGACTGTATCGTCCATGGGGTTGCAAAGAGTCGGACACGAATGAGCGACTTTCACGTCCCCCATTTTACACACACATACACACAAACTCACCTTGTACTCCACGCCGAGCAGCTCCTCCTCCGCAGACGTGAAGCAGCCCTCCTCTTCCTCTCCACCGAGCCAGGTCCCTTTTGGCCACGTTTGTCATAGCACCAGGCCCTCCTCCTCCAGGACGGCCTCCCTGATGCACATCTGTAGTCTTTGGCTCATTGACCTGCTCAACAAGTCTGTGGATCTCTGACTCCATACCAGACACTCTGTTGGTTTGGGGTAAACAGAAGGGAATGGAATATACTTCCCACCCTTGATAATTCCGGGTTCCACAAAGCTGGAGGCAGAGTTCATTTGCAAGCTGATCCTGTACATACGGAAGGCAGGGAGAAACCAAAGAAAGAGGCAGCCGCTGCAGATGGGTCAGTGACAGGTTTAAAAAGCAAGAGAACTTACACACAAGTCTTAGGTGCTGCCCGAGGAGTAGGTCTCTGCACCCAGTTTTAGAAGCTGAAATAGAAGCCTTAGAGGCCTGCCTGGTGGCTCAGTGGTAAAGAATCCGTCTGCCAATGCAGAGACACAGGTTTGACCCCTGCGTCAGGAAGATGCCCTAGAGAAGGAAGTGGCAACCCACTCCAGTACTCTTGCCTAGAAAATTCCATGGACAGAGGAGCCTGGCAGGCTGCAGTCCACGGGGTCGCAAAGAGTCAGACAGGACTGAGCAACTAAACAACAACATCAGTTAAGAGGCCTTAACTGGGCTCAGGAACATAGACCATCCAGATGGTCTCAACCCCACCTTTCTCAAGGCTGTCTCCTGAGGCATCTTCTAGCCCAGGAAATGCACACGCACAATCCAAAGACAGGGAAGAAGTGAGGAGACTCTGATTGCCCCGGACCTGTCCTCTTGATGACCTTTCCTAGGATTCCACCCCTCGTGATCTGCTCTAACTATTTCACACATGCAGCCCCCTCCTTGGAAACGTTCCCTGAAAGGTCAGCCTGGGTTTCACTCACATGGAGCTCATTAGATGGTTATCTGGCTACATTGGAGGCAGATGCCTCACCCACAATACAGGTGCATGCAAGAGAAAACATAAGACAATCATTCCCAAATCAATTTTTTTCCACCCAGAGCCCCGTGATCTGATCCACTGATTTATAAGCCCCCCTACAGTTTAGCCACCTGATGCAAACAGCCAACTCGTTGGAAAAGACCCTGATGCTGGGAAAGACTGAGGGCAAGAGGAAAAGGGGATGACAGAGGATGAGATGGTTGGATGGTATCACTGATTCAAAGGACATGAGTTTGAGCAAACTCAGGGAGACAGAGAAAGACAGGGAAGCCTGGTGTGCTGCTGTCCATGAGGTCGCGAAGAGTCGGACACAACTGAGCAACTGAATAACAACAATAATAGGCTGAGGTAGGATCATTCAGGGCATCCATTTGTGTCCTTGTGTTATTAAATAAAAAAAACACATTAGCAGACAGAAGACTCACCAGGTATGAACACACAACATTCTGCTTGGCTAATGGCCCATGTGTCTCCTGCGAGGCAGCAATGTTGTCCAAGGCCATCCTATGTTGGAGGAGAGCTTTTCTGATTGAGACGGTCAGTGTTCAGGAAGGACAGGCTTGGTTGGCTTTCATTCAAGGCTTCCCGGGGGAGTTTAGTAAGGGCCTCTGTGTGTGCTTCGGTGTGCTCCAGGCCAACGGAGGGGACAAAGACGGCGGTCAAATGATGGCACCGTGGGAATCAGAACGTGTCCCCCTGGCCTCAAGGAGAGAAAGGCGGCAGCTTCAGGAACTTGACCTGGTTGGGTACGCCGTTCTTCTTGGCTGGGGGAGGCAGCACTGTTGGGTGTGAAGAGATGAACTGGGGGTGAGACAGGCCAGACCAGGACGGCACCTTCTCCCCTCAAAGGTGCATGTTCAACCTCAGGTCTAGCCTGTTTCCACAGGCCCAGGTTGCAGCAGGATGATGGGATTCCAGTGGCGGCGACTCCTCAACCAGGGGTGCAGAGCAACTCACCCATCCCGGTGGGACGTCCCATGGTAAATTC